ATCATATGAATTTAAGACTTGCTGGTCTGATTTAAGACCTTTTCACGGAAAAGTGATTTAAAACTTCTTAAGACTTTAAGACCCGCGGAAACCCTGGTAATTGAATGTATCAAAATAATCCCCCCCCCCACACACACACACAAAAACAAATGAACCCTAACCGTACCACCCCCCCCCCCATTATATTATATAATGTATCATAATATTTGCAATTAAGCTCGTAATTTTACATGTATATGCGAAAGAACAAGCAAAGTCGGGCCTACTTAGACTGAAACACAAGGTTTAGGTGTAACCAAGGAGAACAGCTGATTGTTTAAGCTCACCTTTTGAAAACGGCAGTCTCTGTTTTGGCATCTACAGTAAGACTGACTGTCTCCTTCATGGAGCCATTGGTGACAGTCTCAGTGACCCGATCAGCGGTCAGCTCCTCGTCCTCCTCCTCCTCCTCTCTAACCACTGTTGCAGGCTGGGACTCCTGACTTGGCCACTGCTCCACTGCTGCTACAAAAAGGTCTGGTTATTCCACGGCAATCAAGAGTAATGCCTGACATCTGCCTCTTCCTTTATGGCCCTACGGTAACACTGTCACCTTCAGACTGAGCTGCAAAGCCAGCAGTCAGGGGATCCACAACTTCTGAGCTCGTGTCCATAGCCACTGGGGAGCTGCTTCTTAGAGGATCTTTGGGACTAAAGCAATGATGACAAATACCTCAGTTTAAGCATATTGACCGAATCCCTGCCATGAATGACAAAACATCCATCCATCCATCCATCCATCACAATCAAATATTAAGGTCTAAATCAACACTGGCGACACATTCGGAATTTGCCTTACTAACAAATTTTATGCACGACACATTTATCCTAAAAGAGCTACGACAGTGACTTAAATCAGAGACCTCGCAGATCCTGGGAAGTTGGAGAAGTCTGCCCATCCAGCCTTCTTCCCTTGGGATGAGTTCTCTGAACTGCATCCCACTGATTTTGGCACCAGAGTTTGTGAAGCATCTATAGCTGTGGGAGGCCCTGTTCCTGTGGGGCTTCCCATCTCCATCGGAATGTCAAAGCCGCTGGTCCAGGCTGGTATTACAAAGCATAACCCAGGTAATAAATGTAATCAATTAATAAATAAAAACTTTTCCCAAATCAAAAAAGTTATATTTGATCAGCTACAATTCTCTGCTCGACTAACAATAGTATGGAAACAAATAGGAAATGCTGACCTTAGAGACATGGGACACCTTCATGTTAATGTTCTATGCAAATTAAACGGAACTCGTCATCCTCACCAGAGTTAACTTCCATTCGGTCATCAGAGCTTGTCTTGCTGGGTTCAAAAGGGTCACGTTTACCATCTTCCTCTTCAGAATCCGTGCTCTCTTCACTGTCTGTACTGCCAGAACTTCTGAGGAACAGATTTGACTTTAACAAATCTTGTCAAAGGCCAAATTTGGAACTGGAATTCAGCAGTGAATTCACCTGGGGCGCCTCTGTGTTTCTGGGCCAAAAGTGACATCTTTCTCATCCCAAATGTCATCCTCGTCAGAGCCAGCGTCTTCACATTGTTGGATCTTTTCCTTGCAGAATGCCTCAAAGAGGGCAATATTAGCCTGCAGGACACACACACGCAGCCTTCACCTAGTGCACTTGTACCATTTTTCCATCATGCCAAAAGAGAATTCCGCCAAACCAAACTGGATTTGTATGTTTTTCCCCCATCACAACCAGAAAGCGACTAGGGCATTGATTATAAGGTTGTGACATGTAGACTTATCAAGACTATCATTGTCAATATTTACTGAAAAACATCAATATTGTTCTGATTAAGACACTCTGGTCCTGATTGTATGAGGCAAAGGTAACATCTGCAACAGCTGCCTTAACTATCAAAGCAATTAGGAGAAAGTTTCACACAACTTCCAGGAATGCCGAGACAATGAAACTTGCCCCAATGTTAATTTATCCTCTTTATTCCAGGGAAATGCATGAATCATTTAAAAAAAAAAAATTGCACTTGTGCCAAGTAATCATTAAGCATCGAATAATTAAAAGTAAAATTAAACACAAAACAGCACTTACACTTTCATTTGTATTCAAAGAAAAATTGATGTCAGATATTCTGTCAAATGCAATACTGAAATGTTAAAGAAAACAGAGTAAGTAACCCAAAAAAGTCAAGCAATTTCATATTAAACAATTACTAAAATATTACATACAAAGGGTGCACTTACATAGGACAACAGAGGAAGACCCACTGGCCATAAAGCAAAGACCAAAATAAGCCAAACTAGGCACTAAAATGAGCAGTTTTTTAGAACTTAGTCAACCTTTGGTCAGCAGTAAACCTCCAGCTAAAGTGCATAGAAACCAAAGCAAGGGCAACACACAATACTCCCTTCTTGGGAGTACTGAAAAGAAATCCCAACACAATACTCCCTTCTTGGGAGTACTGAAATGCAATCCCAACACAGTGCACATAATAAGGTCAATACCAGCATGAGAAAGAACAGCCCAGCTTCCCATTCATTATGCATGGATGATGTAGTAGTTTAGTAAGACCTACTTTCATTTAAAGCTGATCAGTTTTCAACAGAATCAATATATGGTACATTTACTCGAGCCACCCTAGAATTAGTAAGGTTATATGCTCTAAGTGGTTAGTGAACAGCAGCATGCATGTCAAATACTTACCCCACAACATCATCCTGCTCAGCGGACCCCTCATCATTGAAGCCAAACTGCTCAATAAAATTGGACGTCATTTGTTGCATCTGATAATCAGAGAAGGCCTGGCAAACCCAGGACCAATGATAATGATATAGTCTTGACACTTCAAATCAAAATTTTATGCTCTGCATTTATGAACACGTACACATATGAATACATATCACTTTGTAGAATTACTAATATTTACATTTTAAAAAAGTATGATTGCATGCAAGCGATTATTTTTGAATGCTGAAATCAATCTGAAATAAACAGAAGAGCATGATTTATAATGAAATTACTTTTTTCCCCCACCCATCCAGGTACTGACTTACTTGTTGCAAGGCAGAATCCTGACGAAATCCAGTGCTTTTAAAGTCTACCTCATCATCACTGGATGGATGAATGTGTGTATTTACCTAGTTGTGACACATAAGTACATCATAAGGTAATGCATATAATTTTCTCCTCCACTTAAATACTTCAGTGCAGGCAGACAACATGAAGTCTTTAGGGACTTACTAAATCTACAGTGTTCTTCTTGTTGATGTCTGCTAGCTGCCCAGAAATAAATGCATCCCATGCGTTTTGGACATCCTCAGGGAGCTCTGGAAATACAAAGGCACATTTCTTTAAGTGATCTGCCATAACACTACACCCAGAGCACTGTGTGAGTAATACCACTCACCTGAAATAAGCTGCTGTATCAGCATGCTGTTGGGCCCCTTGTCACTGTTGTGCACCACAGAATTAGCTATCCGGGTCAGATGGCCCATGTACCCTCGACGCCTTCCGCCTCCGGCCCTGGGGCAGATGACACAGTCACTCAGCCTCTTAAATCAATATGCGAGTCTCAGGATTTAAAATGGCATACAGAGAGAACAAGAGCTTGAGCCCCCCATAAAAAAACAAAACAAAAAAAAACCCAATATCACATTTTCCAAAAGAAGTCAGACTTCAAGGCACAGTATCACTATAGTTTTCAATGTCGATGCAATTTATACAAATATCAACATAAAATTTATATCCTGAAAGGTATGCTTACATTAAAACAGCCAACAGTCCGTTTTATGTTCATTTTATTCTTCTGAGAACTTATAGCTGCATTGGAGCCAAGTGATCTACCTAGTTACACTGTCACTGATCACAGCGGTATGTAATTAAGTAAGGAGCATGCAGTGATTACAGTGCGTTGCCACACCCACCACACAACAAACCACCTCAGGGATGAGAAACTGAGTGCCAATCCTGCCACCAACCCCCAAGTTTTTTCCACTCTACATTGGACCTCCTTATAGGGCTGGATGCAGATTAACATCATACCCAGGATGAAGCAGCTGCAGGTTAAGGGTCTTGCTCAAGGGCCCAACGGAGTAGAATCACACTGGGCATTCATGGGATTTGAACCAGCAACCTTCTGATTGCTGGCACAGATCCCTAGCCTCAGAGCCACCACTCTGCTCTATTGTCGTGTTTGCTTTATGGCCAGTGGGTCTTCCTCTGTTGTCCTATGTAAGTGCACTCCTCGTATGTAACATTTTAGTAATGGTCTGCCTGTGCTGTATGCATTATTAAAAGCCTCTGACATTTATAGACAAGTAGAATTTTTAGTTCCGAGACACAGATAATTTCACATGTGCAGACAAATTAGCAGCTCTAAAATCAATTTGAGATTACCTTTATGACTTCACCAATGGTGTTAAATATAGATGCTTCGATCGATTGGCAGGTGATATTCAGTCTTTTTCGATTGGTATTTGAGATTGAAATTAAAGGTTGCCAATGTCAAAGATTTTGTAGATAACGCACAATTAGGCATAATTTCATAGCCACCGAAAATTATCTACCGATATTCATTCTTGTTTGATCAGAGCGCTCTATACAAGGTTGATCAGAAGAGCCAATCAGATGACAAAATGAGAGACGTTTCTGTGCGTGGTAGAAGCTCACTAAAATGGCTTCACTGTTCTACAGTGTCTGAAAGTGTCAAACATCACTGCAGTATATGCAATTTGTGTGAAGCCGAAATCCCTCATGGCTGAACACAACAGCTGGGGGTGAAGTTGCGCTATAAATGAAATGGTCGAAATAATTTGACTTGTGTCTAAAAATACATATTTGCAGTACAGGCAAAATTTTACATGATGACAAAGGACATTAACTTCCAGCCAAAATAATTTGAAGCAGGACATCCTCCCTCAGAATTACCAGCAACAAGCAACCAACCATTAAGGAGCGATCCCCCGTTTCGGGATGAGGGGAAGATAGAAACTCATAAATGGATGAACAGCTACAAACACCCCCATCCTTCTTTGAGTGAGCAGATAAATACAAAAGTCATAACTAATTACACATATTTAACAGCTGAAAGGGTGATTAAGTTAAGATCTAAAATGGAATTTTAATGCAAGTTATTCCTTTAAGGACGGGGGGCAGCGTGTGGCTTGGTGCCTGAGATGGGAACGTCACTTGTTCAAGCCCAGCCTCAGCACCTATCTGGGCCCTTGAGCAAGGTCATTAACCCTGAGCTCTTTGGGCACCACTACAGGTGGCTGCCCTTCACAGACAGCTTGTCACCTAGAGGGAGCAAGAAGGGGGAGGCGAAGAGAATTTCCCCGCAGGAATCAATAAAGAGTATACTACCAAAATATAGTAGTGAATACTTACTGCTCCTTTTCATTGGAGACCCAGGCATCAAGTATTCTCTGTAGTATTTGGCACTTCTGAAACAGCTGGGAAAGTAGGGGACAGATTCAGCACACAGGCATCACAAGAACAGCTCTGAAGTATAAAAGCCATCTGCAAGACCACGAGACTCACATGCTTGACAAGAAGGTTTTCCATGACAGGCTCAGAGTCATTGTCTCCATTGATAATGGGACTTGCACTTTGAGTTGGAGGTAAGGCCAGAATCATTGCTATGCAGATTTCAACTTGTATGTGCAAAAAGTTATTCCATATATATCTGAAGTACATATCCTAAAGAACCAGAAATAAACAGAAAAAGGTCACAGTGCGCAGGATTAAAACTGATAACCATTTAAAGCTAAGAAATAGCCACAGGCACTATTTAAAAAGCAGCCAAATGACTATTAAACTAAGAGGGAAGGCCAAGGGTTTAAAAGCTTACTCACAAGTATGACTCCAACAGTGTTGAGGTCTATAAGCTCAAGGTTGATCGTGTGTGTGTTTGTTTGAAGAAGGCTAGCAACCAGCCGGACAACATGCAAACGCGCATTGCCGACTGGGGGATCCAGCACTCCCCATGTAGTTTTCAAGACATTTTTCTATAAATGACAATACAAAAACTCTCATTACAACTACAATCAATAGTGCTACCCTCCAAAATAATTCATTAAAGAGGAATGATAGTCAGCGGTCACTGAATCAAAAGGACCCCGAGAACTGGTGGGAAGACGTAAACAATCATGGGCCAATACCTCTGGGGGCTCAAGCAGCAGTTGGTGGAAGTCCTTCAGCCTTGGTTTGACAGCCTCCAGCACAGTCGGACTGACTGAGAACGATGGCTGGTTCATAATGGGGGGGCAGCTCTCTAAGTGGCCTTCAAAACTTAAACAGTATACAGTTGCAGTTAACGGGGAGGACAAGTGAAGGCCAAAAACGAAAGCCTTCTTTTTTTGTGAAGTACTTACGCAGACTTTCGCATTTCAAACAGAGTCAACAGTATCTGTATAACACTGACTATAGCAGAGTCGTTCCTCTCTTTGTCAAAGTTGTTGGACAATAACAGTTCCACTGTCTCCTGTCTGCAAAACAGGGGGGTATAAATCTTACGTCATATCTTAATTTTTTATACTCGTTTTCAAATAAAAAATGTAAAAAGCTGTTTTCAATGTATCCATTTAAGGCTGGTTGGCTAATGTCTAAAATAGCTATTAAAACAAATAAATACAAAACAAAAACATACTTTTCCAGTGTGACCAATAGGGGGTCTGACTCCGAACCACCCTGAACTTGGAACATCTGGTCTCTGCTTAGACGGATTATTTCACATAGCGACTGAGATGCATTAGAGTGTTTCTTGAACAACAACAAAAAAAAAAATCATTAAAAACAGAGACAGACCACAAATAAACCCAAACTTGAAGCCAGATACCTCAAAGTAAGACATGCCAGGTAGAAGGAGAGCATATTACATTGATTACTGAGGATTATTATTAAAATAGTGTTATTTAGAAAACACACACAAATACCACACTACAGAAAATCTCCTGAAACCTGCAGCGTTTAGATATTAAGAACAGTATCAATTCCACTCAAAAGTGCAAATAATAATACTGACATCCTCATCCAGAGTTGGCTGTACCATGTCAACAAGCCGCTGAATAACCTTCTCCTCATTCAGCCACTGGGGAAAAAAATTGAACAAGTTGAAGAACCACAGAATTAGGTGAATTATTTCAAAACACACCACAAAATCAAATCTTATCACGTCAAAGATCTATTATATTCTGCCTAGGTGTTACACACACACAATCACAAATCAATGGAAATTTTTGTAGAAAATTACCTGGAATTACTAGCAACGGTACAAGTTGCTACTTTGCCAGTAAACTTATCGGGTCTTGGAGAGACAGAAAGCGATGACACATGCACTCACATTTAAGACATCTTGCCTAAGCTGCTGTGGCTCAACACAGGTCAACATCCTGAGCATCAAGTCCATGATGGCCGAGGTCCCTATATGCTTTATCATTAGGTCCACGAAGTCGTCCCTCTTACGGAGAAACTCTACAATCTGAGGGAAGAGAAATTTAATATGCATCAAACTCGTACATAAAATATATTGCAAATAAAACTTAACCTGAGCCTTCACCACGCTTACCTGATCAGGCTTCCTGCTAATAAGGATGCTCAGCACCTTGCTGAAAAAACTTGCCAGCAGGGGGTTGAGGGGAGGGTCATGTTGCAGAAAGCTGTAGAGCTTTGTAAGCAAGCTTTCGTCCTCACCCAGTTTGTCGTTGATTCGACTCACATCCGAGGTGAGGAGTTCACAGGATATGTTGGGGAACCTGAACAAGTTGGAACCATATCATTGACTAGAACAGCAGTTAAAGAGCTCCTGATGTACGCATACTTTTGCTGCTCCATACATTATAATGACCTTTAGACAAGGCCACCCATTCAATAAGTAAACTGAGCAACCGTCACTCTTTACACAAACAAAAAGCAGCTGCTGTTTTATAGTAAACCAAACGAAAGCATAAAGCAGGCACAGGTCAATCTCAAACAGATGGACATAACTACTCACTTGTACTTAAGCTTCTCGTCCATGTCATCACTGGGCTCCTGGGTGACATAGCCAACCAGGTCTTCCATGCTCTGTGGCCGGACCAGGAAATCAATTAGTTTGCGGTTCTGGGCCTTGCACTCCTGCAACACATCCTCCTCATCCATCAGCTCTGTCAGGGTCACGTTCTCCTTCTCCAACAAGGTGTCGACGTGGGAAGTTGAATGCAGGTCAAACTTCCAGAACATGTTGCCGTTACTGGCAAAGAGCAGAGAGCACACATGCTGAAATTAATATGCATCTGTCTCTACTGTGGTCACATGCAGTGTGAGAATAGGTGCCAGAAGTTAAGCATGAAACCCTTCAAAATTAACTTTACTTCTCACAGGTATCATTAAAATTTTTAATAAGGGATATTTTACTTTTTGCCAACCTGTGCCTTGTTATTCTTTCAAAAACCACACTCAAATGATCCACTGAAATGCAATTATTTTTTCTAGCATTCTTCAGATAAAATATCGGTCAATTTTACCCTTAAATTTCTGATAGAAAAAACCCAGAGCCAAAATAAAGATTGTAATGAAGTTTGCAGTGAAATCCCACGATCAGCAGCAGAAACCCACCATGAACATGAAAGTGAAATCGTTACCGAACGGTCAGAGGAGAAGCCCAATAGCCACAGCTCAAAACCCGGTAAAGAACTTTTATTTAGTACCAAAATACACTCACCCCATCACATGCTTGAGGGTTTATGGTGGAAGATACACAAACATAAAAATTCACAAATACTTGGGAACATTAAATTAATGGCACTGAAAAGCTTAAGTCACTGTGAGAAATCAGAGATTCCAGTCACAGACCGCTAACATGAGTGAGGGTGGTTGCTGAGACAGATGCACGGCATTCCCAAGCCGAGATACTTAGATCCCAGTTTTCTGTTTTTTAAAGAAAAGCTTTTAATATTAAGAATATAGTATGCACTTACACTCACAAATATTTACACTAAAATTTATATGACAGTGTGTGATTCAAATCATTTTTAGTATTTATATATTTTTGACTTACAAGTCACCTGAGAGTTTCTACGATGCTTCTGCAAGCTCCAAAAATAGTCTCATTCAATTGTTCATGGCCAACTTGCAGATAATGAAAAACTGTGAATGTGAAATTCTCTAATCTGGAGGGGTGAATACAAAACATTCTGATTTATTAAATTTAACCTGGGCCAATTTCCAATTTCTGGAGCCGGTACCTACTGAAAGATAGGCTGGGTAAAAAGCTTTATAGTTACACCGGCACAATTTGACCAACTCAAATTTTAACCTATAAAAAATAACTTTTGTTTTGGTCAATGTTTAGCTATATGCTGTGATCAACAGTGATTTAGCAATCAACAGCTTAACACATACCTGGTTAGAATAGTAATGTGATTGTCAGATTATTCAAAAATAAAACAATGTTTGTTCTCTTTGGAAGTCCTTGCCCATTACAGGTACTCCAAGCAGGGGCAACAGGAGAAAGCTTTGGAAACAGGATGCATGCAACAGAAGGCACCTCAGCCTCCACCAATCAATAATCCCCTGTAGCAAAAAAAAGTGAACAGGAAGATTTCACACAGTGAATAAAAAAAACTGTACGTTCTCCATTCTTCTTATAAAAGGTTTGAAATCTAAAATTACTGAACTTGATGTACAGGTCAGGGCAGGTTGGGGAGCCTGCTCTGATGCAGCATGTTGTGAACCAAGCATTGAGGATCCTGCGAGCCAGTTCACCCTCAGGGAAATGCGCCACATGGCCGTAATGCCGTAACTGATGCTCCCTCACAATGCACGCAACATGCCTCATTCGGGACTCCTCTAGCAACTGCTCATTCGACACAAAGTCAAACCGACGATATCCAAGGATTCTCTGAAGAGACACAGTACCGAAGGAGACCAGTCTGTCTCAGCTCACTGGACACCACCCATGTCTCACAGCCATACAGCAAGACAGAGAGCACCAAGACTCTAAAGACTTGGACCTCCGTTCACTTGAAAAGATATGGGGAACACCACACACCCCTTTCCAGCGACCTCATGACCCTCTCATGCTCTCCCAATCCGTCTGCTTCATAGTAAGAGTCACCAGAGACATGAATGTCTCTGCCAAGGTAGGTAGATCTCTTGACAAGGTACATATATGTGTATTATAAAACACAATCTTTAAGATCCTGAGAAAACAGGAGAGCCACAAAGCAATTAACTAATACCAATGGGATGTACATTTTCCCCTGTTAAAATGAATCACACACTCAGAGGGGGGAGGGGGGGGGGGAGAAGAATCACAATGGGGACCTGGTGACTACCCTGAATGGGTAAAGGAACAACTGCATTGCTTTCAGAAAATACCTCGCAATCACAGAGCTATCATATCATAACATAAATGGCTATCCAGCTACAATACACTATGCATTGTTTTTTTAATTTTTCCTGAAGAATGTGCAACCAGTTCATGTACTGGTTGAAGTTTACATAGAAGCCAGCTTCAGTCCTGCTCAAGCAGTACTTAAATCTGCTTTCTTTTGACTTGCCCTTATCAATAGGTTAGGTTCAGTATGTGAGCTTGAAACACCCAGTTGGACTCCAAGCTGCAATCACTTTACACCTTTACTGCTCATTAAAGACCACTAGAATAGAGATCATAAATGTGGAAGGAAAAAAGCACACACTACTGGCCCATGTCTCCATGCTAAGAAAACACCTGAAGTCTCAAACTATAAACCTACATAAGACTGGGCGATAAATTGATATAGCATTAAAATTTGATGTATTTTCAGACAATACAGAATGAGAAATTACCATTTACATGGATATATTTTATTGTACATTAAAATTATTGCTCTAATAATGATTTTTGAAGATTTCTGTCCTGGCTGTAAACAATGCGAGCGCTTTGGTCATGACACTGCATGGAATCCCATAATTAACAGCTAAAATCAAACCATTCACTTAGCATCTCATGGGGAAGCTGATGGAGGTAAAAGGAGATGAAACATTGTTACTTGTATTTTTTTCATTTTAAAACATTGCCAAACAGCTCACAGGTAAAAAAAAAAAAAAAAAAAACATTTGAAAATCCCATTTTCAGAATAAGGAATGTGTCTATACTGAACAGCTGTAGTTGCATTTTTCATTCAAGAAGTGTTTTGACCAAACTGTTCTAATAAATGCTTGTGACATCCCAAATGTGGCTCTGACGTACAACTGTACATTTAGCCTAATTCATGGAAAATATTGAGATATATATTGTGTATTGCTAATCTTCCTAAAGATACAGAGATGGTTTTTGGTTAATATTGCCCAGCCTTACTAAAGACTGTCGATATCTTTAAAAATCCATGATATTCATATCACAGTAATCTCAGACTTCAAATCTCCATCTGTTGAGGGATTACCTCAAGACTGCGTTCACATACTTCATATAAGCCGATTTTATTACAAGGCTGCATTCTCTTTTCAGAGTAGCTCTATTACAGTTCTTTGTCACAAAGGGTGGTCACAAATTTTCCATCTATTCAATGAGTGAGATTCGTACAAGGCAAAAGAAAATGGGATCACCTTTCTAAGAACGATCCTGTAGAGCAACCCTCATGAACATTTAATACTTAATGCTTGCTGTCACTGAGTATTCTTGCATAGTAATGGTGTCAAGTAAACATTTATCGAGTAGTCAGTGTAAGCCTCAAGCAGTCTCAAATGCTGCGTTAGTTTTTTCTGCAAAGGCCTCAAAGATAATTTTACTTTTAGATACAACTAGAAATTAATTTAATTCAAGCGACACTACCAACCTAACCACCATACCTATTGTAGTCTCGGCAGTTACTAATACAGTAATATCAACTCGCCAAGCGGTTTGTGTAACATACCGAGAGCACTTCTCTTTCATTAATGAATACCATATACGTTTAAGACACTGCAGGTGGCTAAAACTTCTGGTGTGATCGCCTGAACGACCAGCTGCTCCTACTCGCATCTCTGGAACTTGATTCAAACTTTATTTTAGCTGTAGACAGCCAGCCAAACAGTAAGAACAACATCAAAGTCTATTTTAGCTATCCGGCTAGCAAAGCTATCGCCGAAAGTAAAAGGTAGGCATCTAACACCGTTACAGTACTACTTCGTTACCATATAAACACCAACTAACGTGTTACTTAATTACAACACGACAATGTTACAACGAGGTATTAGTCATAAGTTGAAATGGGATCATTTCCAAAAAACAAACTACATCCTGTAACACATAACACAAGTGAAACTAAGCGTGTTTCCTAATAAACACGATAGCAAACCAAATGGAATAAAAACCTTTTGAAAATATTATATTTAATATCACTAATATAAGAAGTATAGTGACCCACAACACAGTTAACTGAGGTTTGTGTTGCCGGTTACAAATTATATATGAATGCATTTAGTGTTTTTCTATTTTTAAATTCCTTAAGTAGTTAAACTAGTTGAATAACGTCAGATAAAGAAAGCAGGACATAACACTGAACACAATAAAACTGTTCAGGAAAGTGGTCGGTAAATAACACAGTCAACCAAACAACTCAGACTATGAAGCTCAATCCCACTTTGTCAAATTAGCTTACTAGCTACTCCTGTGGCCAGCACGGAGAACTGCAGCAACTAGCTAGCGGGTAAGTACGTACCAACAAGAAAGGCAAGGTGACGCTTCCCCGGCAGGTAAGCTGACCAGGCTTCTGAATCAAACACTACGGACATGAACTTCGGGGAAACCAGCAACCTAACAGGGAAAACAAACAATCTACAGCAGACTCCGACGGGCGGGAAAAGCTTAACCATCGGAGGGCACTTTTCAAGATGGCGGATCAATCAACTTTAAAAAAGCCCTTCCCCCATAGTGCTGCTACACCAGTCATTCAAACGAATTATAGCCTGGCCATTGGCTAAAACAAACGCCAATCAACTCGAAGTCCTACTGCTGTGGACCTGTCATTTGATCACAATTCGCACATCCAATATAAATCCCGGCTTGGTTTGTACTTAGAATACTTTGAATGTAATTACTTACAGGATTAGTTGCTGCGTGTAAGATATATACTTAGATTACCATTTATAAGCAAGTTATAAGCCTTCATTGGCCTTTTTCGAGCAAAATCTTTTTGGTCGGTCTAGTTAGGGCTAAAGAGGAAACGGGAATACTACGCTTTTCACTGCTCAAAACGGAGTATAGCTTTACGTAGCTTTCTTAGTAATATCTCACCTAACCCGTCAAGCAGCACTAGTACAGAAATAACATCGTGATCTAGCTCACTTTAGACGCGCAGTTTAGTTTCGTTTATTAGTTTAGGGTTAGGTTATACCCCAGTCTTCTGTCCCTTTCGACAGCAGGGCGCCACTTCGAGATACACTTTTCAGAGACGCACCGGCATTTACCAGTTTGTCAAAACCACGGGACTAAGTTGTTTTGTGTTTGCGTGTTCGCTTCGGCCGAAGATGCCTCGTAGTCAGTATCACCCGGGGAATATTCAGAGTGCTATGCTGTTAAAACTCCCCTTAGCTATAAAGAGGGGCGCCGCTATGCATAGGTAGTAAGCTGACCAGCGTATAGCTTTTTATTATTCAGTCTGGTACACTGTGCATGGCCCAACTAGCTAATGATTGTTCGAGTATTATAGATTAAATTACATGTCTACGTGAAAAATGGTGAACTATAAGCAAATATGTGCATTAGACTTATGAATTAATCGGGATGCCTTTTCAAGACTAGCGACTAGGTTTCGTCCTGTAATGTACATTTTGCAGCCTTCATTTCTGAACCAGAACTAAGTCTTACGTTTGGTGTCCCTTTAGCATCAACGTAGGCCAGGGGTCGGCAACCTGCGGCTCTTTGAGCACGAGGCTGAGGCTCCTCTCAGAACGATAGACGCATTCACGTTTTCATGTCTTAACATATTATGGTAATGCTTTCGTAAATATAAATAATTTAATTATGGGTTAACATTATTTTTCATTTAGATATTGCTTTAGCTACATGTGAATGAGGCGGTGCGTCGCGCTCTTCCGTGATGCCTTACATAATTTACATCTTCCTCAAAGAAATTCTCTACGGCAAGAATTACAGGAGAGAATTTCTCTCCTGTAAAATGGTATTCAGCGTCCGAGATGTAGGCTTCAAAGTTTATTGGGATTCGTAATTCTTTCATATACTTTTCGTAGTAAATCGTCACCACGCCTTCCCAGATCTTCGTAAAATTATTATATTTTCTCCGATTTACATAATAGCCAGCTGAGTTGGGAGTGGTGAGGACATTTTGCGCTGCTCGTTCAGCACAGCAGTAGTGAAGAGGAGAGTGAAGGGCAGACAACTGCAGAGCCAAACGAACTTGGGTGAGGGTGACGACTATCGCTATAGAACTGAACGATATTGTGATATTAGTCACCTTTGCAGTGTTACGCGTCCGAGGGAATTAAAACTTCAGACCCCCCGCCCCGAAATTGTTTTTGTTTATTTTTTGTAATTATCAGAAGTTTTGTTTTCGTGTTAAATGCATATATACCGATATCGCATTAAAATCGTATCTCAAACCCTCTTCTACTGTATATCCATTGCGGCTCTTTGTAAATCTTGGGTCAGACATTTAGGATAAAATGACTCTTTAATTTTAGAAGGTCGCCGACCTCTGACGTAGGCAAACCTATATTCATACTTGTTTATGCTCTAGGTCTACAGTACAGTCGTGACCTGAAAATTCGTTAATAAATACGTGTAAATGATCGAAATGAATGAGATTATAAGGAAACTTTAAACCCAAGTTTTCTGCTTTTGTCAATGAGTGTGGTTGATATCACTGGATAATACCAGCCCTGCTGTGCTTTTGCCCCTGGTGGGTGGAAGATCTACATGACAATGTATCTGCGAATTGCAGGCACACTGCAGGCACACTGCAGCCGAGTGAACAGGAACTCCTAAATTATATGCAGATTCATATTCAAACCATTTATAAAAGAAACAGAACATATAAAGCAAGGAAACTGTAGAGCATCCAGTTCTGCATTTAAAATACAAAGGTTTATACCACTTCATATACAGGGTAATAGTAAGAGATTACCCTGGAGATTTTTCCAGGGTACAAGGCAAATAGCATCATGCACAGGATGCCAGTCTGTCTCTGGGTACATGCTCACGCTGTGGGCAGATAATTAATGACAGTGAAGGAAGAATATGAGTGCCCAATGCTGGAGGTGTCAGGCAGCAGTGCTTCCCAATGAACCACCATGCAGCCCAACATTGTTGTGTAAAGAAACATTTGAAATATTTAACAACAATGACACTTAACACTAGCTTTAAATATATGGGAAAATAAATGTAAATAACACAAAGCTTCATATAACTTCTGAATCATTTTTGCTTTTTAGCATTTTGTAACAATATAATACAAAGCATAATATATCCATCTAAAGATCTTTGATAAGTTCTTATTCAGTATGCATAGGTACAAGGCAGGTGGACTGGTCTAATGTGGGGTACATAAAGATTAATGTACATATTTATTTATTAAGATTTATTATACATAAATGCTAGATTGTTCCACTGTATCGTGCTGGTGGGATAAAAATTGATGAGGTGTGGCAATTATACATTATAGATGGTGTACGAGACCTAATGGGTCCAAGACCACCCTAAAATTTCATGATAGGAAATTCCGTAGTTGATCTTTCACACAGATTATCGGTAATTACACCATGTCTCCATTGGAGGGCAGCAAATGGTCATTAAAAAACATTACATTTATTTGTATTGACTGGTTTCTCCATCATTAACAGTACCATAATTTGAAAAATCTAAATAAAAATGTCCCGTGACCAGGATGAGAAGTTATAATACTGTATGGATTGATGGATAGCTCAAAATGTCTGCTGGTAGTAAATAGGAATAAAGGACCTATATTATCAATATACTGTTAGCTGAGGTCTTAAGATATTAAGTTTCTCACATGTGTCATTTCAACCCAAATTGCTTCAGCTAGTAATAGCATAAGATGCAATATAAATATTCCTTTTTCTTCTTTACAGCAACAAGGGTCCTACCGGCCTCCTGTCTAGGGTAAACCCACAGCCTTGTGCTGCCTGGGATAGGCTCCAGGCCCCCCCACAATCCTGATGAGGATAAACGTTTGGAAAATGGATGGATGAATGGTCACATCCTTCCTCTCCAGTCATCTGGCCTGCTTCCTCTAGGACACTCACTTACTCCCCAGCCAGATTTCTGTCCTAATACGGGCAGCTGATGAAAGCAAGCTGCTCCACAGCCACTAAGGTCCAAGTCAAAATTCCAGGTTGAACCATGACAGGGAGTCTGAGAAGGTTCCATAAGTCACCCCTGAGCAAGCAAAGATCTCACACATCCATGGTCTTTACACTCATTCCTTTCACCCCTTTGAGGTTACATGTTTAACATTGCATGTTATAATTTTATATGTAAAATGAAAAATATATTAAAAATATACAGACCAGAAGTTTGGGTCCACCCCTGGGTTTAAAAAAATAAATGATAAACTGCTTTTTCAAACTTCTATTACAAGAAAATATTCGAAATCCTTACAGTCAGAACCATAGATATTTGGACAGAGACAAAGTTTTTCAATTTTTTAGTTCTGTACATTACCACAATAAATTTTAAAAGAAGTCAGATGCAGTTGAAGTGCAGACTTTCAGCTTTAATTCAGTGGGTAGAACAAAAACATTGCATAAAAATGTGGGGAACTAAAGTAATTTTTCTACACAATCCCCTCCTTTCAGGGGCTCATAAGTAATTGGACAAATTAATACAACTGCAAATAAAATGTTCAGTTCTAATACTTAGTTGAAAACCCTTTGCAGGCAATAACTGCCTGAAGTCTTGAACTCATGGACATGACCAGACGCTGGGTTTCCTACTTTTTAATGCTCTGCCAGGCCTTTACTGCAGCAGCTTTCAGTTGCTGTTTGTTTGAGGGTCTTTCTGTCTGTAGTTTAGCAAGTGAAATGCATGCTCAATGGGGTTGAGATCAGGTGACTGACTTGGCCATTCGCGAATATTCCACTTCTTTGCTTTAATAAAGTCCTGGGTTGCTTTTGCTGTGTTTTGGGTCATCGTCCATCTGTATTATGAAACGCCACCCAATCAATTTGGCTGCATTTGAGCAGACATGGTATCTCTGAACACCTCAGCATTCATTCGGCTGCTATCATCCTGTGTCACATCATCAAGAAACACTAAAGACCCAGTGCCACTGGCAGCCATGCACGCCCAAGCCATCACACTGCCTCCACCATGTTTTACAGATGATGCAGTGTTCTTTGGATCAGAAGCTGTTCCAGCCCTTCTCCATACTTTTTTCTTTCCATCATTCTGATACAGGTTGATCTTGGTTTCATCTGTCCAAAGAATGCTGTTCCAGAACTGTGCTGGCTTTTTTAGATGCTTTTTTGCAAAGTCCAATCTAGCCTTTCTATTCTTAAGGCTTATGAGTGGCTTGCATCTTGCAGTGAACCCTCTGTATTTGCTGTCATGCAGTCTTCCCTTTATGGTAGACTTGGATATTGATACGCCTGCCTCCTGGAGAGTGTTGTTCACTTGGGTGGCTGTTACAAAGGGGTTTCTCTTCACCGTGGAAATGATTCTGCGATCATCCACCACTGTTGTCGTCCGTGGACGTCCAGGGCTTTTTGCGTTGCTGAGTTTTTCTTTTTCTTTCTTTCTCTCTCTCTCTCTCTCTTTCTTTCTTTCTTTCTCTTTCGATGTACCAAACTGTGGATTTTGCCACTCCTAATGTTGTGGCAATTTCTCAAATAGTTTCTTTCTGTTTTTGCAGCCTAAGGATGGCCTGTTTCACCTGCATGCTGAATTCCTTTGACCGCATGTTGTATGTTCACACCTCAATCTTCCAAATGCAAACAAGACACCTCAAATCAACTCCAGGCCTTTTATCTGCTTAATTCATAATGAAAGAACAAAGGAATTGCCCACACCTGTCCACGAAATAACCTTTAAGTGAATTGTCCAGTTACTTTTGGCCCCTTTAAAAAGAGGGTGGCACATGTTAACCAGCTGAAACTCCTAAACCCTTCATCCAGTTTGAATGTGGAAACTCTGAAATGAAATCTGAGAGTCTGCACTTTATGTCCATGCCCATTGTATAACTTCAATTGGAATATATTTCAGTAAACAGATAAAATAGTAAAACTTGTGTCAGTGTCCAAATATATATGGACCTAAGTGTAAGTGTAACTGACTGGTTTTGAATTGTAATTGTAAGTGCAATTTAATGAATGTGCCTCAGTGCGAGTTTCATCAGAATAACCAGCCCTTGCCTTTATCACAGCAGCACAGATTCACAGCATCCTTTCAAGCAATTTTTGGAAATAACTTGTGTCCAAACCATTCCAGCACCTTTTCAAGCATGCAAACAGTTCTGTCTCATTTGTAGATGCTCACTTTGAACCTCTTGATCCGACTTGTCCCACGGATGGACTTTCATCCGTCCACAAGACCTGCTCCCACTCCAGTGTTTGTGTTGTTTTGCCTATAGTCTCTTTTTCTTGTTAACACCATGAAGTGAAGGTTTTCTGGCAGCAACTGGACCATGTAGTCCAGCTGCTCAGTCTTTGCTTGACCGCATTGAGATACCGGTCTCCCTCTGTTCACATTAATTGCAGCCCTTAGACCATTTAATTTCTTTTGCATGTCACAACTAAGTATTGATCTTCAGCCTTTGATGTCACTTTCCTTGCCCCAGACTGTTTCCGGTCACTGTTGCTTCCTGTCAACCTTTTTCTCTGTAAAGAGTAGGTCACTCCATGTTTAGAAACATTTGACTTTTATTATTTGGCAATAAAAGTACCCTTCTTTACTAAAAATTTAGATTTTAGCCCTTTGTTCAATAGTTAGCTGTGCCCTTCTAGCCATTACAAACAAAAATAACAAATAATCAAAAATTGTGCCATCATTTGTGAAGATGATCCAACAGAAGACTGAAGCGAGGAGCAGACAGTGCAATAAACCTCTCACAAACTGATCTGGGACAAGGCAGACAAGTGGCTATCGTTTAGTTTATTAAGACACAGTCAAGAGAGTCCAAGGGCAAATCAAGTTCTGCCATTAGTAAATAGATTTCCAGCCCAAAATGAATGTCAATACACTAAAGAAAGATCTGATACGTTTTCTTCAAAAACCAATATTTTCAGCCTTTGTGGCTAAATAATGTTACTACAAGCTATAAAACACTGGTAAAAAAAAAAAAAAAAAGTCATCAAGCACGGCTTCTCTGCCAGCAGGCCAGGACACCTGTGTGAAGAGAAGCTTGAACCAACCCACATCATTTCCAAGGAGGCCGAAATTTATCCTTAATTGTACTTCATGTATCAGAAAAAAAATGGTCTCATATGACACTATAAAATATGAACATTTATTCACACATCATAAGTTCATTAAAATATATTTTTATTATATAAAAACTGCTATTATACAAAAATGATCACGGGGTAGACTTTACAAGGCAGTTGTACATAAAATACAAGGCACCAAAGCTGGTTCTTAAAGGACGCATGGGTTCTGCAGCCGGTGTCAGCTATGTGCCTAGACGGAACAGCCAGGGCACTGACCCAATCAGCTTGTGCAACCAGTGGCCCATCGCCAAATTCCAAAGCGGGATCCAAATCTGTGCCAGGGCCCTACAGTAACTGAACTGGCAAAACAGATGTTATCATTAGGAGTCTCATCAATGGTGCTAGGTTAGCACCACAGAATTCCTTACAAATCACATGCAATTTCTAGGAGAAAGGACCAATATGACATGTTCAGGTACTAAATGACACATGTATGGTTCCTTGCCATGAAGGGATGCCTCTTTTTTAAGGCAGATATCCTGCTGCTAGACTTAAGACACCGGCTGTGTTTTCTAACCCATAGAATAAGGGTCTCTGTGTTGCGAATAAGTGCTTTAGCACTGCTCACAGAGTGCTTGAAACATGCTCAGACTGCAAAATATACCATACACAATACATCACCATATATTAATGTGTGCTTCTGTCACTTTAAACATATCACAATTAAACAGCTGTCTTATCCCACATCTGTGATATGAGTATTTGGACCCAATCTCATCTCACACTACATATCTTCAATAACCAGTTCAGGGGTGAGGACTGAACAGAATAATATTGTTCCATATTGGTATGAGGCAACAGTGCCACCCACTGATCCACCGTATACTAATATTTGCTTTAAAAAGATTCTTATTCAAGAATTCAGTTTTTGGACATTCAGAACCAGTCATTTTCAGGTCAAGTTTTCTGTCACATTGCTGAAAAGTGCAATTTAAGCTTCCCCCAGAGGTCAGGAATAACCATCCTTGGATAAACACAAGAGCACTAAAGCTGCTTGCTGCTCTTCTCAATGATGTTTTTAAAAGGTTGATACTCTGAAACTCATGCCCCATTCCATGCATTCTCCGTGAAATGAACTCGAGATCCATGAGTGATACAAAATAATTTCATGCTTTGCAAGGTTACATGTTGGCTTTGAGCCCATGCCACAAAAATGGCATTTACAACTCACTCCATGTAGATTTTGTCCCTTTTACAAAAATACATGTATATTAATTCATACTGATCTGTACACATTAAAAGAAAAATCATTGAAGCGACAAGCAGAATTAATACATTACATTTAAACAATATAAACACTTGTCATGGTTCTATTGACATGATATTAATCACTGTTGATTTATCATATTTTATAAATTGCGTTCAATGTACAGTAGCAGCAAACAGATTACAAAAATGGAATTGAACAATCAGTTTGTAAATACTTAATATTCACAGATAAGGAAAAATGGCAACACTTTAGTTGAGGAGGCACAGAAAATGTAGTACATTCTTACTTAATGAATTAACCAGTAACTAATGGTTAGTGATCCCATGCTTCATTAATAAATCATAACGGTTAATGTATTTCATGCAGTTACTGTATTTGTTCATGATTAATAGTTGAGTAGTAACTGAGTTACTAAGTTACTTGTGCCCCTTCAAGTAAAGTGTTACCAAAGAAACTCCACACTCAATACATCCCATAACTTCTGTTCAAACTGCTTTGGGTAGAAGCAGCATTATGAGTTGGCTGCTCATAACAGGTTTCATTCAGAAATCTGGCCACGAATCAGTGGTTACAGCACTTTACAAACTAGTGTAGTTCACTACATATGAATGTAGCTCCATGTAACCCAGAGGTCTTAAAATCATTTCCTAGAGCCTTAACCGTAGTCGTCACCAAGGAGCCTGTTTTAAGGCAGGGCCTACAGTTTTAACACAGATTCAATGATATCATGTTTTCAAAAAAAAAATTATACATTACAGCTGTACAAACATTTCTTTTGGCCTGAATTTCACAAATGTTAATCCCTCCCATCCCCATAGAAAGAGATTACTGAGATTCCATTACTGGAAACTAATAAAATAGAATAATCTTATTTGTTCATATTTAAAGGTATTTACAAACGTGCTGGTTTCCCAGGGTCACGAAGAGTCAGTGCAGGGTGACGGGGGCGGGGGACTCAGATGGAAGTAGCTGTGCTCGGTGGAAGGGGAGGGGGGGCAACTCTCCTCTGCAGACAGGTACTGGCTGCGAGGGGTCGGGGGAGGTGGGTAGGGGTCAGAATCCCAGTTCAGGTCTATGTAGTATTTGTTGCTTTTCCAGCGGCTGGTGGTGTAGTCACTGTCGCACACATCAGTGCTGCAGGGGGTGGTAGGGGGCGCCATTCCCCGCACCGGGTAAGGCCTGAGGTGAAAAGGGCCCAGGAAAGGGGGGGGGGGGGCAGACGGAAGGAAGTGAAACAGATATCTTCAGACTCACCAAAAATGACTGACTAAGTAAAATTAATATCTTCTGTTCCTTCTTTATTTTTCAAGAAAATTATCAATGACAAATGACTAGTTAGTAGCCAACTATTTAAATATATAAAAAAAAATCCTTCTCTCTATTAAAGTGGAGACATAGTGTTGTAAAGAAAGTTTATATCTCCGGGCATTGCAAAGATAGATCCAATTTCTGACAGATCCACTTGGCAAAACTATACTGAAAGACTGGGGAGGATATATTTCCCTAAATCCTATATTCAACTATGTGGGGTATTAATTTCCCACAATCCCTCCTATGGAGCTCACATTTGGCTATAATACAAGGGCTTTTCAAGTCCCATGAGTCCTACTGAGGACTGCAGTTCAAATTTTTCACATTTCTTGTGGGATTTATACTGAACAAGCATATTGTTCAGGCCAAATGAGGAAGGGCTAGTGGAAAGAGGTATTGTACCTGTAGGACCTGGTGGTGGAGGGGCTGTTGGAGGAGTAGAAGATCTCAGCATTGTACAAGGAACGGTCAGTGGCTGGGGACGGAGGTGGGTTGAGTATCTGAGGAATGAGACATAATAAATATTGTTAAAAACAGCTACACCTTGACAACAGAGTCTGCTAGAGATGGCAGTAGTGCACAGTTAGGTACCTGGGGGTAAAATGGTGCCTTGGAGCTGGAGGAGCTGCTGGAGGAAGCCCCAGTGACGTGAGTCCGGTCATAGAGCGGTGCCCCACTGTTGCTGCTTCCCATCAGGCTCACGGAGCCCATCATGGACTTTCCGCAGGAGATGCCTGTCCCAGCACACAGCAGCAGGTGAATGACGGCACCCCCCAGGCTGCCAGGTCTACAGCACGGAATCAGGGGGCCAGTGTGGAGGTCTTACCCGTGAAGTTGCCGTGCTGTGAGCTGACGGGGTCAACGAAGTTCAGGGGCACGTGTGGCGTCCCGCTGATGTAGTCGTGCGGGAAGGCCCTGCTGGGCCCTTTGTACCAGCGGCACACCAAACGCTGGCACACAAAGTACATGCCACCCATCACAACGACCGACAGTATGATGCCAACGACGGGCCACATGGTGCTGGAGTCAGCTGGGGTGTCGTTAGGTATGGGTTTGAGGATGTCTACAAGGAGGAAGCAGACAGTGTGCATCTGCCACAGGTTCCAGTCATAAAAGCAACACTAAAAAGAGACATAGCACTGAACACTGCAGGCCTGCAAATGTGGGCAGGAAAGACGGATGTGGCCTGAACTCACCACAGAAGAGCTCGTCGGAGCTGTCCATGCAGTCAGTGTAAGAGTCACACTGCTGCCTCTTCTCTATGCACTGGCCGTTCCCACAGCGAAACTGGTTTGGAGGGCAGATGACTGCGAGGGAGAGGCATTCAACATGTCAGCATCAGCAGCCCACAAGCTAACCTAAACACAAAATAAGCTTATCCTAGTAGTAAATAAACTAGGAAATGTAAGGGGAAAAAAGTTACAAAAAAAAATAAAAAATCAATGTACCAAAAGTATGATGAATGTAATCATATGTCATTGGGATGTAAATCATTGGCCCCAAGGCAATTATATTACGGTTGTTTATGGAATGATTAGATGTATTGCAAATCTTTAATTTCTACCATGATTCAGTTTGATAACATAAATTCACTTCATTGAAAAAAAAAAAAATCACAAATGACCATGTGAACTACAAATGACCATGTGGAATACAAAGAATCAATAATATCTCAAAATATCTCAATAATAAAAATAAACAGGGTGAACAAGCCAGTTTAAATTGTTAAAAACAACAAGTAATGTACTGTACAGAAAAGACAAACACATTTATAGGGAAATGCTGTTTGACTGACCACTTTCACTTAGGCTAACTACTGGTGCCTCAGTATGGAAATTTTGACCGATAACATATTCTTGTGTAATATTGCCGACTGCAATAATAGTCCAACCTCTGAGACACTTGCCAAGGGGATGGTTGGGGTTGGCAGTGGTGAAATGTATCCATAAAAAGGGCACAACTAAAGTAATTCTTGCCATTTTGACTTGCATTTAAAACATTAACTGCGTATCATGGACACCTGTGAGATCAGAGCAGAAGCACCCATACCATCACAGTCCTGCTCGTCGGAGCTGTCTGCACAGTCGGCCTCGCTGTTACAGCGCAGATGGGCCTCAACGCACTGGCCGCGGTCACACTGGAACTGCAAGGTGGTGCAGATCGGGCAGCTCTCCTCATCGCTCTGGTCGTCGCACTCGGCAAAGCCGTCACAGCGCCACGCCTTGGGGATGCAGTCGATCTCACCGGTGGCGCAGGTGAACTGCTCCGGGGAGCAGGTGGGGGGCTCTGGAGGGGGGGAGGAGGCAGGGTTAGGGAGGGGGGCTTTCTGTGTGCATGAAAGTTGCAGTTAGGAGATGTTAGTCAGAATCACTTTTATCGCTTAGGCCTATATGCCTTATTTCCACCAATGCAGTGTAGGAGCTGGTAAAGGACTTCTTCCCAATACTAACTAATTTTGTGTGTTTCCACTGCAAAACACTGGCCCTGGTCCAGAAAAAAATGACTCCAGTATGGCACCACAGAAAAGCTAGCCTCAGAATTTGGAACCGTAACGTCAGTGAAAGTGAGACAAGTTATCACGTCCAAATCTACCTGGAAACTTCAATCTATAACTGATATTGTTTTGTCCAATATTGCTGGTACCTGCGCTGTTGCGGGTCGAATATATAAAATATGGTGGTGCTTGAGTAGAAGTGAAGAGATCATGAGGTGGATACCAAAGGTCACTTTTTAGCAGACTCTTTGCACGACCCTTAAAAGGATCGGGATAAAACAAGGAGTGGAAATAAATAAACTCACTCACACACAGACAGACGGGGAACCTTTAAGGCAGCGGTAGCCATCTTATCCGCAAAGGGCCGGTGTGTATGCAGGTTTTTGGGGTAACCTTTAGGTCAGCTGATCAAACCCAGGTATGAGGATTCTTCAGCCAATCAGTCATCTAATTAATAATCTAATTAGGGAGCTGCAGCGAAAACCCGCACACACAGTGGCCCTTTGCGGATGAACATTGGCCACCCCTGCTTTAAGGAGACAAAAGTGGATACAAGCAATAGAGACAGAGCCCAACGAGTCATACTCTGAAAACTTTTCGTTTCGGTTTGGTGTCTTAGAAAAATGTATAAACGTATAACGAAACATCAAAATAAATCCAAAAAATGGAATATATACAATCCTTTACTCTCACTTCCGCCTGTGTAACATTTCCGCTCCATTCTTTTTTAAACCAGTGGAATTGTGGGCAGGTTCTCAAAAAGCACCAATCAAGAACCCCCCAGCACTGGCACCAGTACCCTCACTGGCTCTGTGTTGGTGGAACCGACGCAGTATCATATTAACAGGAATGTACTAGGCCCAGAGTCTTTCTCAACGTGGCCAGTCCACGTTTTTGCTCCCTCTCAGCCCTCAACACACCTGCACCAGGTATTCAAGGTTTTTGATTATTTGGTCTGAGGGTCCCAAACACTCTGCCTACCTCCACAGGTGAGCAGGTCCTGTAGTAGCACCAGATGCATAGGGCAGGAGCACCGCGGAGTTCCATCTCCCTTGGCTATGCAGATGTGAGAGCAGCCACCATTGCCACGGGAACAAGGATGTGATGCTGCAGGAGGTGGCAAGAAATGTGACATAACGCTTCAGTCAAGTTACAAATTACATTGAGCCCTGTTACCAAGAGCGTATCATATTTCCAGTACTGTGTTGACATGCTGTTGTTTGCAAAATAGGCCTCAATTAGCGAGAGAATGGCCATCGTACCAAGCTCTTCTGGGTTCATGTCCTCCACAGCATGTATGCCGGTCAGGTACATCAGGCGGCCCTGGACGCGGGTCCTCTTCTCCCCCGTGACCTTCTCCACACGCTCGATCATCTGCTGCTGCCTGTCGATCCAGAAGAGGTGCTCTCCCAATACCGTCAAGCCCACCGGGTGCAAAATGTTGCCATCCTGCAGCGTGATGCGATTAGCTCCTGTGGGAGGGGGGAGGGGGGGGGGGGGGTCAGCCAAGGCTGAGCACACCGTGCAAGTGCTATAACCACACACCTGGTCATTCCCGTATTAAACTATATAAGATGCCGTTGGCATGGAAACAATGTATACCCCAGACAGCCCTGTCACCTCCTACCCCATCTAATCATTAGTCCTCCCACCCGCCCCCCCCAACCTCTACATTTTGTAGAAGTACTGGTTGGATCAAAATGCGCCTGTTCTTTCATGTGCTAGGGCTAGAGCTAAGTGACACACTTAAATTCCCCCATGATAAATTCCCCACAATACATTTAGCCACCTGGAACCACTGGTCCTGTACAATGTTCCTGGGAAGTTTGAAAGACGTCATACTTTCAGATTTACAGTGTTCACAAGATGGCTGCTACAGCCTCCCTTTCCGCCCTCTGCTGCCACCTAGTGCTGCTGCTTCAATTTGGGGAGTGCCAGGTGTAGATTTTCATTCAGATAATGTTTTTCTGAAGACATAATTTGAGCCATCAAAGATCAAATAAAGTAAATAAAAGTAATAAGGTCCAATAGTTATCCTGTTCACAATATCAAGCGTGTTCTGCAGCGCTTCAGAATTTGACTACTTTCAGATCTTCACCCATACAATGTGCCTGCACAGTTTGAAAAAGATCTGTCAAATACGGTCTTTTTCTTTGCTATCACTATGCAGCGCTGGTTCAATTCTGGGGTGATCCCTCTCAAAGTTTGAGAATTCATCACCCAGACAATGTATCCAGGGAATACATATAGATTAAGTGTTCCTGTGGAATATTACAGCAGCTTAGGAAGTGTCATCCTTTTGCTTTTAAATCCATCCTTCTTTAAATTTGTGTAAACAGACATGAATTTACATAAACAAGCACTACCCATAAATGTATAGACAAACAGCTGTGTTACTAATTAAAAAGATTACTCATAACTTCATTAGGTTCTCCAGGGGTTCAGATATTTATTGTTTGTTTATTTGTTATTTATCATTAATATTTATTGTTACCATTTGCACTCTGTACCATCTGCACTTGTCGATATGTCTCTGGCCTTGTCAGTTTGTCCTGTGTCTTATCTGTCTTTTTGTATAGAATGTCTATAATTGTGTAATTGGAGGGTCTGCACACCAGTGAGCGAGAAACGGCATTTCGGTTCTCATCTATGTCTAGCACATATAATGTGAATTGACAATAAAATATCTTTGACTTTGAGACTTTGACTCAGTTGTTGTCTAATACTGTGTTAGGCTGTACATTATTGGGTTCTCTCCAGTGTTGGGTTCTTCTGAGTTAGGCTGTATAGTGTTTGGTAATAATGTGCTAGGCTGTACAGTATTTTGGTTTTCTAGGGGTTGGTTCTCCAGTGTTGGGGTATATTGTGCTAGACTGTACAGTATTGAGGTCTCTGTGGGCTGGCTCTCCAGCATTGGGTAACGCCATTTTAGACTCTCCAGCGTTGGGTAATGCCGTTTTAGATTCTGCAGCATTGGGTTCTCCAGGGGCTGGCTCTCAATCTTTGGGATCTGCTATTGGCTTGAGATATTAAAATCCTGTTCAGAGCTAAAACAGCTTGCACAAGTGCTTCATATCTTCCACTGGTGGTGTGTAATGGCAAGGTTCTCACTTAGAGGGCGGACATTTCCTGATCGTAATCAAACATACATGGAGCGGTTGGAGCCGAGAGGCCGGGTCAGTGCGCACACACTGTCACTCACCAGAGAAGTCACTGCTCTCGATGCGTCGGAGGACCGCGTCCACCCAGAACAGCTTGCCCAGTCGGTTGTCCAGAGCGAGGGCCACAGGGCGAATCAGGCCTGTCGTGAACAGAGACTCGCGCTCTGTTCCGTCCAGTGAGGCCCGCTCAATTTTGGCAGAGCGATCTTGCATCGTCGTGAAATACATATATCTGAGAGACAAAGGAGTACAGATTCTAGTGTGAGTGTGGGGGGGATATCACAGTACTTAATCCCTAGACCCTGTCCCAGTAAATTCATAATTTGACCGAAAACTGGAAATTAAACCATAAGGAAAAACACTTCAGTATGGATCAGAACAAATTTATGTAGTCATTCTGCAGGACATTGTTCTTATCTCACTAGAGAATTCATTCTTGGCTACTTACATAAAATATGACTAAATGTAATGCAATGGAGGCACCACAAAAATGCATTTTCATCCGTTTGCCGTTCGGTTTTCTCCTCTATGAGTGGTAATGCCTAGAACTTAATACTTATTTTATTCCTCCTACACATTTTCAGTTTTTAGTGTGTAGATAATATATTGTAGTAATGACATGATATATTTGTTGAATACCAACTATAAGACATTTACCAGAAGAAAAAAAAAGTGGTTTACCCAACTTCTGCTTAGGTTGCTTCTCAAAGTAATCCTCTTAACTATCCCTGAAAAAGTCATTATCTGTGTGTTTTAGCGAGTTGATGCAGGCAATTGACCTCATCACGACTGCTGTCACTGAGAATGGGTTTTGCATCCAAGAAAAGCAATTCAGTAATTCAGCATTGACCTTTAATTCTGGGCCTGAGCCTGTAGACATTGTATTACAGTGCATAGATCAGGAACCCATAGAATGAACTGGAATGCTGTTATTACAATGAAAGGAGGGCATTAGTATGACATTTATGAGTTTCATGAAAGCCTTAAATATGCTACCAGATTTGTTAAGTTTTGGTTAAGGATGGTTGGATGGATGGATGGATGGATGGATACTATGATCTACAGGCAGATCCTTATTAAATAAAAACTAAAGTTTTGTAGTTATTTAAAGGATGTAGAACATGCTGAATGCCACTAGTACACTAGTAAGCACTTAGGAACCCCAGGATTCAGGCAATTTTTTCAATATATATATATATTGCACAGACAATGACTTTGCATGCAGGGAATGTGTCCGCTAGCTGTTAGGAAAGACTAAATTCTCTGTGCCCGATGTAAAGGAAGAGACATGATTTTATCAACAGTAGGCAAACGGAGACGGCATGCACACTAATAACGGGCACGCAGTTAGAGGGGAGGTAGCCAAAATACAGATTACGCTCATGTATGAGTGAGGGAAACAGAGCATGACCGCAGATGGCCATCTGCTGCACACATGGAGCGAGGAAGCGGAGACTCAGCCTGTGCTGTCAGCTACAACACTGCAGTGTTTCCCCTGAAATGGGAGACAATCTAACATGTGAGGTCAGGTATCGTATCTCATCCAATCCACCAATATGTAAACAAACAATCACAAACAACAACAACAACAACAACAACAACAACAACATGTCAACAACAACAAGTGTCAACAGAGACCTTCATGTGGTACCCTTAAACAAGTCATGGACCAGTGAAATATTGGATATAATGATTAAAAAATATATTGGTGTGGATAAACGTGTCAGCTTTCTTCATTTCCATGAAATATGCCTGGATATGCCTTCTTTCACAACAAGGTGAGCATGATCATGATCAGGCTCCGGCTGCCGACCCCCCCCCCCCCCCGAGCCCACCCTACCCTTTCTCTGCATTGACCACGATGGCCCTGGGCTTGTCCTGCTCATCCCTCAGTACAACTCCCACAGAGACTCCATCCAGCCGCTCGATGTTGATGGTGTTGGTGACCTCGCAGGTCCAGAAGACTGTGCGGCTGTAGGGGTCCAAGCTCAGGTCATGGGGCTGCCTCTCTGGGACTTGCTGGTGACTGGGTGCGTTTGACAGCACCACAAATGACTGATGAGACCAGGAAGGGAGACAAGGAAGACATTACAATGTGGTATCGAGAGAGCAGAACAGACCAGTCATTTGTTCATATCAGAAATCTCACCATTAATACATGACACTAAACAAATTTCTGATACATGTCAGTCATAAATCTGCTTGGAGACATCAGTTCGGTCCAGACCTCAGAGCCATCGTCACGAGCCTTCCTGATGTTCTGTCTGCCATCCACCCAGTACACAGCACGCTCGACGGGGTCGTAGCGGATGACCCGGACGTTCCGCACGACGTGGATGGGCAGGATGATGTCGGGGGTCTGCTCCCCCAGCACCATGCGGCTGATGGATGCTCTCTGACTGAAGAGGAGGAAGCTGGAAGGAGCTGAGTTTGGGGAAGGAGAGAGAGAAGGGCAGGTTCACACACCCCCACTGAATCAACCATTTCCATGCTGGATGGAGAAAAGTCAACATCTATTTTCATGTAACTTCAGACTGCATATACGATAGAAAATAAGGAATGAATTAAACTGCTTCTCAGACATATATGACCGTAAAGTCGACCAGTCGTAAGCCACATAGGTCATTAGTTGACTACAACCAGTATTTGTTTCCAAAACCAAACTGATAAAACAGATAACGACTAATTTTCCAGTTTAGAATTTTGTACTCAAATCAGAAATGGAAAAAAAACATAACAAGCGTTCACATTCTGTTTTGTTTTTTGGTAATTTTAATTTTATTTGATGGTGCACAAATGATATTTTATTATATCATTACTTATGTATAATTAACCACAAACTAAGTCAGTTACATACTGATCTCATGTTAATTCATCATTCACGAATCGTGACGATCTGTGGGGCGGCATGTTGGCGCAGTGGGTAAGTCCTGGATTTGATTCCGGGTCCTTTCTGTGTGGAGTTTGCACGTTCTCCCCGTGTTCGCGTGGGTTTTCGCCGGGGGCTGTGGTTTCCTCCCACAGCCCAAAGGTGTGCAGAGTAGGCTGATTGGCATGTCTAAACTGGCCCTGCAGTTGTATGAGTGTGTGTGCCCTGCGGTGTGTTGGTGCCCTGCGGTGTGTTGCCGCCCCCCCAGGGTTGGTTCCTGCCTGCGCCCATTGTTCTTTGGGATAGGCTCTGGGCCCCCCGCGACCCCAGTGGGAAATAAGCAGTTACAATGATGGATGGATGGACATGTTTTGTCAAGCAATTGCTATATTTGTTACTATATCTGTTAATTCTGTAAACCTTTCTGAACTACTGAAGGCACAAGTAATGAATAACACAAGTGAAATACTGATCTCATCATTAATGAGTTGTGTTGCATCTGGTTTCTCAAGTAGTGACTATATTTGTTCAGGATTTGTACATTAGTAGTAACTGAGTTATTACTAAGTATTTGTGCCTCGTCAAGTAAACAGTTATTGGTTTTATCTGGACACCAGAGGCGTTACCCCTGGACTTAACTAAAGCGTTTTCCGCAGTAAACTTGTCAAATCGTGGTCACATTTTATTAAGTCATTCCCATGATATTTTGAAACGTGGGCCCATTTTCCTGTAAGCTCTTTCACACTTCAGAATTTTTTTCAGAAAGCAGAGCCTTTTTCCGGAACCAGGGACTTTCTTCACGTTCACACTGCAGGAACTCGACTTGATTGTAGTTCCCCGGACACAATTCCAGAACCCCTATTTAGTATCTGCTCCAGACTGGTATTTTTCCTTCAAACACGAACTACAGAAGCCCTGAAGGGCAGAACACACGAGCAAATACGAAAATACACCAGCAAATACAAAAACATGCCATTAAATACAAACACACACCAGCAAATGGAAAAACACACCAGCAAATACAAAAACACTACAACTTTAGTGACACTGAAAACGGAATGGGTATGTAACGGCTGATTATCACATGCTTGTCGTTGACAGGGAGCCTGTCAATCTGCCTAAAGTCATACCTTATGGGATTCCATCTGTGCCAAATATGTAGATATGTGCACCATTGATGTCAACTGAAGATCTAATACATTTATCTGTGTCTATTCAACTCTGAACTCAACTTCAGCCGTGACAATACCATTTTGACAATTATATTGTCTATGCTGATTTTGCACCTGACAAAACATTTGTCTGTCAGTTCAACTTTAGACTGTACTTCTGTCGTCAGCACATGATGTGTCGTCCTTCTTGTTGTTTGACTATGTCATGTGTGTTATCCTAACGTGTCGTCTGGCTGTGTTATTATCAATATCGTCTTGATGTGATGTTTGTCTGGGTGGTTTTTCTTGTAATCCTGCTGTATCATTCTGCCTGTTGTTTGTGTTGCTCTACATATTATCTTGTTGTTACATTCTCAAATATACCAATCATTCTCAAAACTCATACTTTATGCTTCATCGTGACGGAAGTCTCAGTTTGGAAGTGGCAACCCTAGGTAGGTTGGAATGACCTACAAACACTTAATAGCCAGCAGCACTTATGTAGAATATTGAGAGCCAGGATGCTTTACTGAACTAATTCATTCCCTCGTTTTAGTGTTTAGTGTCGTTTTCTCATTTCGGTTTTGAAAAACGTGTTTTTTTTTGTTTTTTGAAATTTCGGTTTTATTTAGAAAAACAAATGAGCGGATGAAAAACGGATTGGGTTTTATACCTTGGGACATGGCGAGAGTGAATGCAGAACCTGGCTTTGGTACAGCCGGCTGGCTATAAAAACTGCTTTAAAGTCAGGTTTCATTATGTTAGGTGGGGTTGCCAAGATTCAATGTGGTGAGTCACAGGCGGCATTCGATGGAAGAAGCCCGCCAGATGTGCCTCACTGCAGAGTTCAGCACAACTTGATTTAACCCTTTTACCCCATCTGAGGGCATTAGTGATTGCTTAAAAAAAATAAAATAAAATGAAGTTTCTGTTCTCACTTACAAAGCAATAAATTTACCACAGCAAGGCCATAGGAGTTTTTACACATAACATGCTGATAACAATAATAATCATAAAACTTGTTAACACTGTTATGTTATGTTGCTTACAACAGCTCCAGCTTGAAATGAATAGCAGCTCTTTTGAGGGGCCAGGCCAGTGTTTTACTCATGCCGCACAGCTGCTGAGGAACACGGTGCTTCATGCTTTTCAGTTCTCATTCTGAAAACCTGCTAAATATGCCATTAAGATGGGGTTTGACAGAGTACCGTCACAGCAGATCATCTCAAAGAACTCCTCTGCCATCCCTGAACTGATCTCACTCACGCAGGATCACACACAGGTCCTCCTCGCATGAGCAAGTCTTAGACAGGACAAAATATTTGGCTTTTCCCTTTGATTCGCAAATAAAGGGATGTGGATGTTGCCATCAGAGACAGATGTGGTGAAAGCCTTCATCGCAGCTTCTCTCTCTCCACATTGTCTCTCCTTTTCCCCTCTGCTCTGCCTGAAATCTGGAACAATAAGCCTGTTCATGCATTCAGGGTGCTGCAGGCCTGCTGCAGGCCTGCTGCTTATGCTCACTGCATATGGGCAGGTATGGGTGATGAGAGACTACATCACACCCACTGCAATTCAACTGTTGACACCAGAACTCATCAACACTAACGAAGCCTGCATTCTTGACTTTGTAGTGACGTGCCATTTCGCTCTAGCTATGAATACTAGTGAAACATGTTAAATGTAATTCAAGGTAAAGCAGAAAACGTTATATCCATCCATCCTCTCATCCAATCCAATCCAATCCAATCCAATCCAGGCTCATGCTAAACAGGAACTCTGTCCAGTACACCTTGGACATGAGACTGGGGAACATCATTAATGGGATCCCAGTTCATTGTAGTGCACATATATATACACAGAAATAGCAATTTAGAAACACTAAAACACCAAATTTCTCCCATAAGTCTTTGGAATATAAGAATGACTCACAGCTGCAGTTCCTGGTGTTGGCCTCTAGGGTGTAGTGGGACGCACAGCGGCAGCGTGCGCCCTCAGGAGTGGCCAGGCACAGGTGGCTGCAGTGGCCGTTGTCCTGAGAGCATTCGTTCCAGCCATCCTGCCGCGACGCATGGAACACCAGGATGTCCATCACGTACTCCAGCTGGCCACGGATCAGCGTGCGGTTCAGCCCGCTGCGCTTGTCCGCCCGCTCGATACTGCGCAGGTTCCAGTCCGTCCAGTAGATGTAGTCCCGGTACTGGGTCAGTCCAAAAGGGTGTGGCAGGTCGTCAGCGACGAGCTCCCTCTCCTGGCCTGAGGATGAAACCATAGTTTCCATTAAAGATACATGCAAACACATGCAGTGCACGTCTTCATTACATTACCTTACATTACATCATATTATATTTAATCAACAGGTGGAAAGGGATGATCCTCTGTATGACAAATGATGTTTAAAGTCGTGACACTACACAGCTTCACTTACTGAAAGCAGCGGCGGGGAAGGAAATGCAGTTTCCATATCCACAATGGCTACAGCGCAGAATGCATATTTAGCACACAACTCAAAAAAAAGGCACATTTTTAATGTGTGCGAATGCGTGGGAAGTTTAACAAGCTATAAAAATGTTTAGTCTGGCTGTTCCCTTGATGCCCTAAGCAGTTCTCATTAATTTAGAAAGACACACTGATTGAATTGGCAAATGTACAACTGAGAAATGTCTGCGCTGCAGTAAAAGCCCAAAGAGGAAAAAGGGGATGTTTTACCTAGCATGTTGGAGGACTCGATCATGCACGTGTCCAGGTCCGTCCAATAGAGCCTCTGATCGACATAGTCAATAGTGAGGCCATTGGCTCTACCCAGCTTGTCCACCAGGGTGGCGATATTGCTGCCATCCATGTAGGCTCGCTTGATCCGGGGCTTTCCACCCCACTCTGTCCAGTACATGTAGCTTTGGAGAAGAAACATCCAGGCATGTAAACAGTGAGTCACATCTACACGCGTGACGTTATGGTGGCTAAACAAGTTTCACTTCTCTGGAACCAATTAGACCGCTCCACCAAAAACAGGCATTTCCAAATCAGTGGAACACTGACAGCAGACAGGAGGAGAGGAGACAGCCTCTGTGAACTAACTATACCTTATAGGGCAGCTGAAACACGGGCTGACTGCAACGTCAGAAGAGGGTTTTCTGTAGAATGACATGCAATGCCACCCCGAAATGGCAAACAACTATGAACACAGTGGCTTGCGGTTCATTTACACAGACGGCTCCCTGCTTACGGTGCTGTCTAAGAGAGAATTCAGTGCGGAAGAATAAAATGCCATTTGGCATTATGTCTCTTTTTTATTTCTTAATTATTTTCATTTGACATATGTGTCCGTTTTTACATACATTATCCTTTGTATAACTTCTTTTTTGCTGTTGAATAAATTCCACCCCACAGGAATCAATAATGCTCTGTATTCTTATATCCTGGGTGTTTATCGCGTGAATATTCAGGCCATGGGTTTTGGCAGCGTTATGCTCTCACGGCACACCGCCCTGTTGTCACATCCTGGCCTGGGTTGTTATTAGTCATTGTGACCAGGAGCCTTTATTTGCAAAACAAAATGTAACATTTTGCCAAAGTGGGAGGGCAAACTGACAAGGTTGAGATAGGGAGGCCCTGCACTGGCAGAGTCCGTGGAACCCCAATGAGTTACTGCCTGCCAGGCTCAGACAGGAGCCCGGAGGGGCACACGCTCACTGCACAAGCCTGCTGCCAGAGGCGGAGGCAGAACAGTGGGGGGGGGGGGGGGGGGGGGTGCAGAATGCACATGGCAAAATGGTGAGGGAACATGAGAGATCCCAGAACAAACAAACATCCTTCGAACAAATGAATAACTGGAGGGAAAGGTGCCTCATTCTGTATGCATTCTTTCAACATTGTAACTGGAATAGAACGATAAATACATCAATATCCAAAAAGTAATTGGCAAAGACCGGGAGCAGCTCATTCATCCCTCTCACCCATTAGCAGGGTCCAGGGCCAGAGATCGGGGGTTGTCCAAGTCCTTACACACCAGCACCTGTCGGTACTGGCCATCCAGACGGGCCACCTCGATGCGATTGGTCCCGGTGTCAGCCCAGTACAGGTTGCGTCCCATCCAGTCCACTGCCATGCCCTCAGGGTAGTCCAGGCCAAACTCGATCACATGCTCTACCAAGCTGCCATTCATGAAAGCTCGGCTGATGGTCTGCATGAGGAAGAACACGAGTCACAAGGTGCTAGAGATTCAAAAGCACTATACTGGCACTTGTTAGGCCCTTATACTTGGAGATTACGGTTTCCTGTAATAATTCAGGTCATAATTAAAGATCGCCGGCAAATCTAGGGATTAAACCGCTCTCAGGCAAGACCTTAGCACTGACGTCCGTCCAGTAGATCCTGTTCTCAGAGACATCGAAGTCCAAGGCGGAGGCCTCCTTGACGCCCGAGAGGGGGATGGCCACGTCGTTGCCTTTGGTCCCCAGCGAGATGCTGCGGATGTCGGCTCGGCTGGTGAAGAGCAGGAAGGCCTCGGGCACCACGCAGGAGTGCAGGTCGCTGAGCAGCTCCAGCCCCATGGGGCAGGCGCAGACGAGCCCCTGAGGCCTGTGGAGGCACAGGTGGCTGCAGCCGCCGTTGTCTGTGGCGCAGGCGTTGGTCCCTGCAGACGTGAGCGTCGCACTGGTATCAGCTGACTGACAGCCACCATTCACACTGTTACAGTTATACATACAATACTTTTAGTACTTAGCACATTTACATTTATTTATTTAACTGTAAATGTAAAAACATCATACAATTTAAGATCAGTGAGCAGGGTCAGACAGTGTCACTGGCACAATTGGGTTTAGGGGATTCAAACCAACAACCTTCTGATGACGGACACAGGGTCCTAACCTGCTGAGCCACCCACCATCATACCTTACTAACCAAGTTATTTCTGAGAAGTCACCTTACCAACAATTAGCAATCTTGGAAAGCACGAGTGCTTAAATGAATATGAAGGAGAAGTTCTCCATTACCAAACGTCTCGGTGACCCTTGTAGCCTTGAGGCCCATAAGGTCCGGCAGCTGGTCGATGATCATCTCGCGGACAGCTTCGGTCTTGTGCACCCTCTCGATGCTGCGCCTTTGCCAGTCCGTCCAGTAGATGTAGTCTCCCAGCAGAGTGAAGCCAAAGATGTGAGGAAGCTTGTCTTCCAGTAGCGTCTTCCTGCCCGTCCCATCAATATTAATAACCTGACAAGCACAGAAGGTAAAGGAAACCATTGCAGGCAGGCCAGCTGCTCGAACATCCACAACACAGGACACATCCGACACAGAGAATACAAAAAAGTATTAAAAAATGACATACAAGGAAACGTGACAACAAAAAGGTCCACAGAGGCCAGCATGCTGTAATACCTATTTATAGAATTTCAGGATGTGGACATGACCTTATGTGGGTGCTGGCCACATTCAGCCAACAGCACCACTGATGGCTGCTCTCATCCACTTGCCACTGTATAACAACTTTCTTCATAAACCATTCCCCATTTCATAAAATGAAAGAAGCACTTAAATATTTATACATTCTTCATATTTAATGAACACCTAACTAAAACTGTTTACAAAAAGTTAACATCTTCAACTTCCATCAGATGGGAAGTAGTTCTTGAAATATTTGTTTAAAATACTTCACTCAGATTAAATCTTTTGGAACACAGTATTTTGCAATACATCATTGCACAAATATGAAAAACATGCATCCATATTTCTTGTCCAGCTTAGCTTGGAGTGGTATATTCTGGTAATAATTTGTAATCAAATAAATTGCAGTTCTGCTCCAAATGAAAAACAAAGGCTGTGTCGCACTGCCCTGGGGAGATGGTGCTGTAGAATGGTGCCCTCAGTTAAAGATGCTTTTAATGTTAGTTGACTGACGACCAATTGACAGGATACGGGGACTGGATTTGAGGGAACAGAGTAGCCAATAAGCAGTCAAAATAAGAGTAATCTCTAGGCTGAAAGAGAGGTCGAAGGGTCCATGCCTATATCAAATGCTATAAAAGTATCAGACTGACAAGCATAAACTATATATGACAGCGGCCCAAAACTCAAAACCAGGACTTTCAAAAATACAGGACATGCCAAGATTTTCAGCTTAGTCCTACTTCTATGGCTGCTTGCACAGCATCTCAAACCCAGCACTGATAAAGACCTATTCCAGAGTGCTTTGATGCCAACAGCAGACAGACAGATAGGCTAAGATCTGAAGCATGTCTTGTCCTCCTGAAGGCAGGTGGATTCCAAACTGAATTCAACCAAGGTACCTTTTCACTCAAGTCCTTGGATTCCTGCAATGTCTTCTAAAACCACAAGTATGAGGGGTAGATATGACCTTACGTCCACATTGAACATTTCTGAAATATCTAGAGACTGCCCTGTAACCTTAATGGAAAAATGTGCATTACACAACAAGCCAAAGGAACCAGCAAGAGCTTGCAACCCAAACCTCTACTGGGAATTTCATAACACATAACTTAGGAAGTTTGTGGAATGAAAGCACTTCCATTCTGCTTGATGTATCAGATTCATTTTTATGTTCATGCAATAAATTAACCCTTCGGTTATAACCAGAGGTGGACATTTCAGGCCCACAAAGTAAAAATCCAGACAAGGATTGTGTTTCAAGTAACCAGTTGAGTACCCTGTGATTGTATCGTTATACTCAGCTCGTTGGTTCACAGAAAATCTTGCTCTGGACCTTTACTATAGTATAGTACAAACTCTTTGTTTTAACCAGAGGTGGACATTTCAGGTTCAGACCCGAAATGTGCACCTCTGGTTAAAAACAAAGAGTTTATAACTCAACTCTATTGTGTAATATAGAGAAAACGGTGCACCAGCAGGTTGTCAGTGATGTGGGTATTAAGACTGCGTATTTTTCCTCACTGGGCAGCACTTAAAACAATGACTTCCTGTCGTGTGTCATTCCCCTTCCTGTATGGACTGTACACAGCACGACCAGGCGACCTGTTGTGTAGATGGTGTCAGCTTGATTCATTTTTGTAAAACTGCCTAATGCTTCCTACAGCTAGAGATTCAGCCAACTTCTCTTCATTAGGAAGGTTGACTTGGGGGAAAAAAATGCAGAGAATTCAATTGCCACACAATTTGATAAATAACTACTTAGTACACTGCAGGGGGGGGGATGGGGCAAATGGCATCACTCTTAAAGAATCCGAGTCTGAACTCTCATAAATAAAAGTGATGAGGGGTATCGGGCACAAGAGGGAGGGGCAGATTTACCAAACTGCTCTCAACATACGGCAAAACAACTTTTATAGTATACTTTCTGCTCCCAGGTTGGGGGGGGGGTGACATTTTAACAACTGTGAGGCACACACCACTGAAGACGTTTACAAGTCCCGTAAAACTCATCAGTGCAGGCAGCACAGCTAAGCGGAGCACAGCCACAGAGAAAATACGCCTGTGAGCTGTTTTCTTACTCCCGACATGAAGGCTGCGGAGAGGAGCGGCCTGGAAGCGGCCTGGAAGCGTCCCCGCACTGCCAAAAGTACCCGATCACCCAAAGGTTATGTGAAAAATTCATATTCCACATTCTTCAATTCTTTTTATCTTTTAAAAGGTCAGGGTTGACAACAGGAACCAAATAGTTTTGTGATGTACCAAATCCAGAAAAACTATTTCTGTTTTTACATGATACATATTTTGTTTTTATACAATAATTTCTGCAGGCATTTCACAAATAATATAGGAATGACATTTTCTTAATTCAAAATAAACAGACAAGCTGACAAAAACCCAAAATACGGTTCACTTTCTTTAGACTTCCAAGGAGAATCAATGATGTGCGATATCCGTAATCTGACCTTATTCAATGTGAACCCCTTCAAACATCTGTTTGCCTATGGAACACAAAACATAGTGCGAAGAGCTCATATTAACTATACAGCTATGAGCACATACTTTATAAAAAATACAGAAACTGTACTGTGAAACTTCAACAGTGCCGCAGATGGGGGGGGGGAGGTTTCGACCTCCTCCGCACAGAGCCTTTACAAACCCCCCCTCTCTAATCCAGGTACAAGCAAAGCTCCTGGTATGGAGCCATGTTCTCCCACCTCCCGACATACGCAGCGGCTCAGCTCTCCTTGCAGCGTGTCACAGGATTAAAGCGTGCCCCTGATTTCAGCCAGGCTACCGCTTTGTGAAGCACAGCGCCCCCCCCCAAACGACAGGAAAAGGGTGCGTGTCAGCAGAGCTAAATACAGGGGGAGGTGGAAAGCCAGCGACAGAAACCGATTAAGTCTGTAACTGGGAAACAGCCTGCAGGAGAGGAAAAAAAAGAAAAAGAAAACAACACACACACAGGTTTGTAATTATACCTTTGTGGGGACTCCCCATTCAACTCGAATTCCAACATGACGACCTTAACCCCTACCCAGCCCTAACCTCAATCATAAGTAACCAACCAAAATGAGAGACTTTTGGCATTTTTAGTTTTTTGATTGCATTCACACATCTTTGTGGGGATCTGAAAAATAGTCCCTACAATGTCGAAACAACAGGTTTTTATTACATTGTGGGGGTCATTTAGCACTACCTAAGCCACATACACATTGCTTTGTAATCATATCTTTGTGGGGACTCTCCATTCATTTCTATGGGGAAAACTAATACCAGTATGACGAGCTTAACCCCTACCCAGCCCTAACCTTAACCATAAGTCATAACTATAACTGATTAGATGGCACTGATGATTTCAGAAATAACATGGCTAATTTAATAATAAGAAAAAAAAAACTTTATAGAAGTGTTCTCATTTCTAACATTTATAAAATACAGATGACGTTTAAAGGGTTCAAATTGGGAAATTTTGCCTCATTCTATTAAATCTGAGGATGCCGCAACAAAAAAGGAGGGAAAAAACCCAACTGGCGCTTTGATGGCTTTTGTATCAGCAGGAGTCTTTTTAACTGCTTACAAAACTGCTATTCATTTTCAGCGACGATTAGACATGGCTAACTCCACTCAAAGATCGCAGTAACATTTTCTTTCTCCATGGCATTCGACACCCGTGGCATTTCATTTTACGGCAGGGGAGATTTTTTTTTTCCCCCCCTCAACCTAGAAAACACAAAATCAAGAACACAAAAAAGTCTCATCTGAAATTCAGACAAGTCAAAACTTGCAAAGCCTTCATATTGAGCCGAATCTAAGTGCATTCTTTATGGCCCCTCTCAAACGGGATGCAGGGAAATTCAGCGCATGAAAGCCGCACTGCGCCGGCACGGTCGGCAAGCAGATTGCCGCGAAGACAAAGGAAAACTTTCCGGAAGAATGCCTACTTCATTTTAGGAAGGTATAACCCTCTGCTCTTGTACTCCACACCATGTTCATTCAGAACAAGCAATACAAAATTTCGCAACATGTAACATCGCAGGTGTTGACCTTATAAACTGATTTCAGAATATAAAGCTTTATTTATTTGTTTGTTTATATATTTGTGTGTGTGTGTGCGCGTGTTTATATACATACACACATACTTACATGCATGCATACCCACAGGTACATTTTTATTGTGTGTTCATCACTTGCATCTGTATAAAACTGGGAGCTCCATTACCATCATATTTTTGGATATCAGACATTTTCATTTCAGCTCCTATTTAAAAATCGAGGGCAATAAGTAGAAAGTCTAAGGATTTAGAGATTTATTAAGTTGACAAAAGACATGAATAGCGTGAAAATGTACGAGTTCCACTATCTGTCTATCGCACTCTTCCCACAGAGCCGTTAATAACTATGGGATTATTTGCTGATTTTTTCCAATAGAATTTTCAAAAAGCCTGTTAAATCTGCTGTATTTAGCTGGAGGAAAGACCTTCTCTACGTGAAGCTCATCCCTCCAAATAAAATCAATAACAACTATCCAAACCCATGAGCCTCAGGACATTTTACACAGAACAGCCCCTTACTACAGTTCAGCTTTGAAATATTAGAGACCTTCACTAAGTTCTAGCCCCTGGTTCTGAGGCCATGGCAAAGCTAAAAATCATACTCATCTCTTTTTTTAATCTTCCATTTTCAATATTAGGTTGAGCTCAGCGTGAGATGAAGTCCAGCAAAATGCTGGCCAAAGTACCCCCACTCTACCTCTTCTACTCTCATTCTCTTGCTTTTCCTTTTCGCTCTTTCAGCCATTTAACCCGTTTTGTCTTTCTCCAGATGTG